CGGCCCAGATGGGATGGGCTGAGCTGAGGCGGCCTCTCTCTCCCTGCCAGGCCTACCGCCAGGCCTACCCCGTGTCTCTCAGAGTCCCCTAAGGCATGGCTGTTGTTCAGCCAAATACGGTGGAGACATTCCCATCATCTGCCCCCCTGGGAGGCAAGTGGCAACAAGCACCCTGAAATCCCAGGAACAGAGGCTGGGCCTCCCTGAATGCCTCCTAGGGACACCATGAAATCTTCAGATGAGACGTTGCACCAACACTGTCCTCCCGGCCAGGGTGTGGGGATGGGATTACAGCAGTCCCAGGAGGTCCGTTAGGCCAACTGTCCTCCCCGTGTGGGGCTCCCAGCACCCAACACCAAGTAAGGATTTATTTTTATTTTCTTTTTAATATATTTTCATTGATTTCAGAGAGGAAGGGGGAGGGAGAGATAGAAACATCAACCATGAGAATCATGGATCGGCTGCCTCCTGCACGCCCCCTACTGGGGATCGAGTTGCAACCCAGGCATGTGCCCTGACGGACAATCGAACCTGCGACCTCTTGGTTCTTGGGTTGATGCTCAACCGCTGACCCACACCTGCCGGGCCCAAACCCATCCCCGGTTTTCAGGATCTGCCTGCTGCTGCAAGTTCAAGGCTCAAGGTACCCGAACAGCAGCTGCCTGCAAGACCACTGCTTCTACGGCATCCGTACCCATACTCAGCCAGCACGGCCCAGCAGAACAAGGAGCCCCAATTCCGGGAGCAATTTTGGAAGACATTCTAGCATTTTCCTCCCTTTCTCTCACACCCACAGTCAAACCATCAAAAAGCCCTACTGGTTCTTCCTTCAAAATACATCCAGAATCCAACCACTTCTCACCTCCCCCAGAGCTACCACGCAGCTCCCAGCCAGGTTATACCTCCTACCAGGTCCCTGAGGCCAGAGTGCTCCTGCTAAAATGCAAAGCAGGAGCCCTGGCTGGTTTGGCTCAGTGGATAGAGCGTCGGCCTGCAGACTGGAGGGTCCCAGGTTCAATTCCGGCCAAGGGCGGCACATGCTCGGTTTGTGGGCTCCATCCCCAGTAGGCGGCATGTAGGAGGCAGCCGATCCATGATTCTCTCTCATCATTGATGTTTCTATCCTTCCCTCTCCCTTTCTTTCTGAAATCAATAAAAAAATATATTTTTTTTTAAAAAATGCAAAGCAGGTCATGACACTCCTCTCAAAACCCTGCAAAGCCTCTCCTTTCAGTCAGAATAAAGGCCGAGGTCCTCAAAAATGGCCTGAAAGCCCCCTCAACCCTCACCACGTCCTAGCCCATCTGTCGCTCACCATCATGGACTCTGAGCCACCGTCGTGCGCAAACGCTTTCCTCTCTGCTTCTCCCACAGGCCATAGAACTCCATCCACCAAGACCTTGACCCCTGCAGTTCACTCTTCCCTAGATAACCAAACGCCCTGCTTCTTATACCCAAACTTTCACACACACCTTCCTTGCTCATTTGTTCTCCTGTTAGCATATATCACAGTAAACAAGACTTCTATCTTTTTAAAAGAATATATATTTTATTGATTTTTTACAGAGAGCAAGGGAGAGGGATAGAGAGTGAGAAACATCGATGAGAGAGAAACATCGATGAGCTGCCTCCTGCACACCCCCTACCGGGATGTGCCCGCAACCAAGGTATATGCCCTTGACCGGAATTGAACCTGGGACCCTTGAGTCTGCAGGCCGATGCTCTATCCATTGAGCCAAACCGGTTAGGGCAAGACTTCTATCTTGTTTACTGTCTCCACGTTAGAAGTTAAGCTCCACGAAGGGCAGAAATCTGGGCCTCTTATTCCCAGCTCTGTCCCTAGTACCTTGCACAGTCCCTGGCGCACACACGGCAGAAGCACACTATTTGCTGAAGTGAAGGCATGAATGAATGTCAAGGTATGGTCAGTTGGGCCTGCTGCCCTGCCCTCACCTCCTGTTTGGAGGGAATGTGCTTCCCGCGCCCCCTCTCCCAGGATGCATTGCCACACAGCGGCGGGCGAGTTCTCACCATTGGACTGCACCAGACCATCAAAAATGTACACAGAGGGAATTGTGCCAGGCACGGGAGAAGCTCACAATTTATAGTGTGTGAATATTTGCCACCTGCTGGCATTTTCCACCTGGGTTTGCAGAAGAGTAACGTCCAGGGCAGGCCACGGAGTCCGGCTTCCAGGAACTGGAGAGCAGTTTCCAGCTCATACCCAGCGCACGAGGCCTCGGCCTCACAGACAGGATTTGGAGACAGGCCCCAGGTTTTACTGGACCTAAACACAACCACCCAAACAGCTCTGAAGGGGCAGCTGTGGTCTTATGTGATGTGCACATACTGAGCCAGGCCAGTGTGCTCAATGGTTAAGCATCGACCTATGAACCAGGAGGTCACGGTTCGATTCCCGGTCAAGGGCACTTGCTGGGGGTTACAGGCTCAACCCCCAGTAGGGGGCCTGCAGGAGGCAATCAATGACTCTCTCCCATCTCTTTCTATCTCTTTCTCCCTCTCCCTTCCTCTCTGAAATCAATAAAAATGTATTTTTTTAAAAAAAGAACTCTACTAGGTTTGCAAAACCTTGAACCATCATTAACTAAATTTCCCTTGAATCTATGAGCACAGGCAAGTCACCAAGATCTGAAGAGTTAAAAGGTAGCCAAGAAAATTAAGAAGTTCTCCCACTAGGAGTGGAACAGAGAAAGGCTAGATGAGTAATTCTCCCAACAGGTGGTTAGAAGGAGCTCACGGTCACATACCCAAACTCTGTTTTATCAGAACCACACTGGAGGCCTATAAGTTGCACAACTAGAAAGAGACACGTGTGGGAACCACCAGACAGCAAAGACACAGGGTGTTTTAGCCCAAAAATACTCTTTCCGTGACATCAAGGGGAATGCCAACTATTTTGTCTCTGCCAGCGTTGCCTGGTACCAAGCTAGCAGAGGTCAGAATCGTATACTCTCACGTCCAACTCAAATACCAGGCATTCTTCCCATTAATAACCAACTTTCGGAAGGACCGGCGATTGCCTGCTCTTTTTATGTGTTACCAAAATTCAGGCCACTAAGGTGCTTTGTTTTCTTGTTTGTGTGTGGAGGGGGTGGGGTTCTTTTTAAAAATATATTTTGTATTGATTTTTTAGAAAGAGAGGAAGGGAGAGAGAGAGGAACATCGATGTGAGAGTGAAATATCAATTGGCTGCCTCCTGACCGCCCCCTACTGGCAATTGATCCTGAAACCCCTGCCTGATAGGGAATCAAACCCAAACCTTTTAGTGGCCAGAAAACGCCCAACCAACTGAGCCATATAGGCCAGGCTTTTTTTTTTTTCTTTTTAAAAATCAAAAAAAAATTTTTTTTATCATCAATGCAGAATAAAAAGGAGAATTGGAGGCGGTATCTAACTTGCACCATCTTTTGCTGAAGGTGGTGCCTATGGGAAACTTGGTTTTGGGGGCACTTGGAACCTTGGGATTGGGGGGCTGACCCTTTAGAGACAAATCCTAGAAGTTCAAAAGCAGAAATGCCCCTTTCTCCTTGGCAAGTGAGGGGGGGGGTGCTGGGGCCCCAACACTAGTCAGCTGCTCCCACACCGGGTTAAAGATTACCTACACTGGCAGGAGAGCCAGGCTGCGTGAGCCCCACCCCCTCTTCCTCACTCTCCTGGCTCACCCCAAGGGGCTCCTGGCCAGGTGAGCATAGGGGTTTCCCGGACAACAGGCATCAGACCGGGACAAGGGACCTACATTGTTCCCTGCCATTTGTAACGGGCGGTGGAGAGCCAGGGTGCAGGCCGTGCCCACATACCAGCAGGGGCAGCCTACATTGATCATGGAGGTTCAGGCTACGTCCTGCTTCCCATGACCCCACCGCTGTCTCCTCCGCTAAGCCGGGAGCTAAGGGTACCCCGTGAGCTGTGAACAAAGTCTCAGCATCGGTGAGCCCGGCAGGGCCGAAGAGCAGCGCAGGAGCCGGCCCGCGAGAAAAGGCAAATCCAGCCAAGGACAGGGCCTGGGATGGAGCCTCAAGTGCAGCGACAAGGAGAAGGGAGGGAGTCCAAACAAAGGGGGAAATGAAAAGCACGCTTCTCCAGCTGTCGCATAAAAAGGCTCCAAAAATAGCTGACGAGGGCCTGGCAGCCAGGAGGGGTTACAGCGCGCTTGGCTGAAAAGGAACGGGAAGTGCATGCCTCCTCCCCCCTCCCGCCTTTGTCTGAGCAGAAACAGCTCGCGGGGTGCTCCGGCCCCCACCCAGTTGCTCGTCTCCCGCCAGCGCGGGTGGGATCCCCTCCTGGTCCGGGACACCCCCCAGCACCTCCATACAGTTAAATCGAGTGCGCGAGGCAGCCCCGATCTCTGCCCGCCCCCACCCCACCCCCCGCAACCCCCGCGCGCAGGGCCGCAGGGCTGGCATCGCCCGGGCCACCAGTTGCCACCGTCCTTCAAGTCCCCACCGCTGCGCCTGGCGCGGCCTGGGAGCTCGGGGCAGGGGGCCGCGGAGCGAGGCTGCCGCCCCGCCCCGCTCTTTGTGCGCCCAAACCCGCGGTCTCGGGCCAGCGAGCGGCCCGATCGCGCTCCCCGGCCCCCGCCCGGAGGCCGCCACGTCGCGGAGCCCGGCGCGCGCCCGCCTGGACCCTTCTGGCACTCACAGTGGCGCCGCGGCTGCTCCTGCAAGTTGGGGCCCGTCAAGGCGGCCGGAGCCCACGCCGGCCCGGAGCCCGACGCCCTGCCGAGCGAGCGCACGACCCGCAGGTAACCAGCCATGCCGAGCAGAAGGAACCAACCCCGCAGGCGAGATCCGAGCGCCGGCCGCTGCTCCGCTGCCTCGCGGCGGGCTGCCCAGACCTGGGCGCCGGGCGCGCGGGCACGGCGGGGGCGGGGCCGCCGGGGCCGCCGTCCCATTGGGCCGCGCCGGGAGGGGGCGTGGCCAGGCGGCGGGACACGCCCCCTCACGCAGCCGGCGCTGCACCCGCGTCGCGGGAAGCCCAGTTGGAGCCGCGCCAGAGGCGGGTGAGACGGTCGCCTGGGACCCGCGCGCGGGGGGCGGCGCTGGAGGCTGAGGGGCGCCCCCTCTCTCCAAGTCCCCTCGTTCAAATCAGGGTGTCAACTGCCGGCACAGCTTCAAAACCCAAAAAAGGCAAATCTGAGGAAACACCTGCGTCCTTCGCGTTCGCGGCGCTGAAACCCTGAGGCGCGTTCGCCCAGCGCGCGGCGTGCGCTCTGGAACATAGACCGCGGGCACCTCAGGTCTCCTCGGGGTCGCGCTCAGCTCCTCGTGCCCCCTCCCCGGGGGGTGCGGACTGACCGGAGCCCCCCGACTGCGTCTCTCCGCCGAAGGTCAAGCTGCCAGTCCCCGAAGGCACCCAGCGTGGCCGCGGAGGGGCGTCCTCGCAGCCGCAGGCCTGCACCCCGGCGCGCGCTGTCCTCAAGGACACACACCCCGCTGCTTCCAGGTGGGTGCCCTTCGCGCAGCCCGCGCCGAATAAACTCAGCGTTCGCCCAGGTAAACAGCCCCATTTTTTTTTTTGCCACGTTTTCATAGAAAAGACCATCCTGGTTGGTTCTGTCAAAAACACCCAAGGTTCGCCCTGGCCGGTGTGGCTCAGTGGATAGAGCGTCGGCCTGCGGACTGAAGGGTCCCGGGTTCGGTTCCGATCAAGGGCACATGCCCTGGTTGTGGGCTCCATCCCCAGTAGGGGGGCGTGCAGGAGGCAGCTGATCAATGATTCTCTCTCATCATTGATGTTTCTATTTCTCTTTCCTGCTCCCTTCCTCTCTGAAATCAATAAAAATATTTTTTTTAAAAAAACAACCAAGGTTCCCCACCCTCTTTTTACTGCCCGCCCCTCCCTTCCCCCCTCTCTCTTTTCACCCATTTTCTTGAAATGAGACACCAACAGGACTGGGGTTTTATGTAGAAAAAAAAAAAAAAACTGTCCCCTTAACCCCCACCCCACCTCACCCCCCTCCACCCTCACTTTTCCAGTCACAACTCACTCCAGATGCCTGCACCCTCTTTCTGCTCTGCGTTCCCCGCTTCCCCTGCACAGTGGACATTGCCAGATGGAGCCGGGCCAGGAAAGCGACCTTGAATTACTAATTTCACCACTTCCTTCTCCCCGTCCCAGCCAGGCAGAGCCAATCACGCTCGGGCCCTGAGGTCCACAGACTGAACCCCCCCAGGCCAGGCTGCTTTGGGGCCCCCCCAAAGTCGGAGGCGTCCGTCAAATGCCTGTTCTTGGGCCAGCACATCCCAGAATGACCTGTGGCAACCCGTTCACTCTGTTCCCAATTCTGTTGCTCAAAACACAAGCGAGAGCCCTGGCCAGTGTGGCTCAGTGGATAGAGCCTTGGCCTGCGGACTGAAGGGTCCCGGGTTCGATTCCCCTCAAGGGCACATGCCTGGGTTGTGTGGGCTCAATCCCCAGTAGGGGGCGTGCAGGAGGCAGCCGATCCATGATTCTCTCTCATCATTGATGTTTCTATCTCTCTTTCCTACTCCCTTCCTCTCTGAAATCAATAAACATTAAACACACACACACACACACACAAGCAGAGACCGTGGAAGCCTCTGGTATGTGGCTCTCATGCCGTCCTGGTATTACCGTGCAGCACCTGGGCCTCCACACCTGTAAACCGGGAGAATGCACCCCCCACCCGCACCCCAAGGATCCTTCGGACCCAGATGTTCTGCTTCAGTTATGTGTGCCATACTGCCCCTTCTGAAGTGGCCATAAAAGATTGCTGCCCACCCCCAGGGACTCATCTGCTCCTCTAGGTCAGTGGTCCCCAACCTTTCTGTGGCCACGCCCCATCTAAGCATCTCTACCATCCTGATGCACGCCCCCCCCCCCGTGACATATCATTCTTATTATTCAAAAAGTGAGCTCCTATTCACATGGAGGAACCCTCCAAGGCCATGAACTTGGTCTGAACAAGCTTCCAAAGAACATGGCATCCATGAGAGAGAAAAATAAAAGAACGAAAGGACAGCCCTGGCCGGTTTGGCTCAGTGGGTAGAGCGTTGGCCTTCAGACTGAAAAGTCCCAGGTTCGAATCTGGTCGAGGGCTCATGCCCAGGTTGTGGGCTCGATCCCCAGTGGGGGGCGTTCAGGAGGCAGCTGGCCAATGATTCTCTCTCATCATTGATATTTCTATCTCTCTCTCCCTCTCCCTTCCTCTCTGAAATCAGTAAAAATATATTTTTAAAAAACACAAAAAATAAAAGGACAGTGGAAGGACTGAGGAAGAAATCACTAAGAAATTGCTAAAAAGAAAATAGTAATAATATGAAGTGATATGAAAAAATAGCAAATAAAGTTTCAGAACAGAGAACTGAAATGCATAAATGTCACAATATATATTTATAGACTATACATGAGGTCCCTAGGACCATAAGACGTGCAAAAGATTCACTGTTAATAACTCATTCTCAAATTACCCCCCTTAAGCACCAAATTGCCCCCCTGTGGGCCATGTGCCCCACGTTGGGAGCCACTGCTCTACATGGTGGACCTGTGTGTCAGGGGCCTGGTAGGAGGCAGTACTGAAGCCTCAGTGTGTTCCAGAGTCTGGCCTTTGCCTGCAGAGGGATCGAAGTGGGGGCACATGTGTCCTTTGCAAGCCCAGGGCAGCGGAGGTAAGATCTTCAGGTTAAACTGCTTCTCACTGCCTCCCTCCCAGGGCTCCAGTTCCAAGCCAGCCTTCCTTAAACAATGCCTGGGAGGCAGCTGCTATCAGCTCCATTGGCTCAGAGAGGTCTGGACACTTGCTCAAAGTCACACAGCTGGGAAGTAGTAGAATTCTAGTTCATACCCGTATGCCTGGCTCATAGATCATTGCTTTTTTTTTTTTTCATCCTCACTGGAGGATATTTTTCATTGGTTATTTTAGAGAAAGTACAAGAGAGAGGGAAAGACAGAGAGAAATATCAATGTGAGGAAAACACATCGATTGGTTGCCTCCTGCAGCACCCAGACCAGGGCCCGGGCCAGGGAGGAGCCTGCAACCGAGGAATGTGCCCTTCAGTCCGCAGAAATTCAAAATTGGAGCAAGAGGAAAATGACTGAAAAGTAACATCACCTTTTTTCCGGAGCTTAAAGGTTGCTCCGTGATGCTGAAGTCATTTGTTATGATTGCCTCATTGCCCTGGCAAATCATTTCTCGGAGCCTCAATTTCTTCATCGGCAAATGGATGTAGTTACACCTACTCCTACTAATTATTAGGCTTGAATAGATTCATGCTGATAAAATGCTTAGAAGGTACCTGGCATACATCAACTATCCACTGAGCCAAACTGGCTAGGGCTCATTTCTCTTCGAAGGAGAAAAACATAGGAAAACTAGAAGCCCCTGTTTATTGTACTTTTTTTTGGAATTCCAAGAAAAGGTGCTTAGATCCTCCAGTTTGGTCAGCAGAACTGGAAAGTCCCTCCCTTGCACACTGTAATCAAATCCCAGCCCTAACCGGTGTGGCTCAGTGGATAGAGCGTCGGCCTGCGGACTGAAGGGTCCCAGGTTCGATTCCGGTCAAGGGCATGTACCTTGGTTGTGGGCACATCCCCAGTAGGGGGTGTGCAGAAGGCAGCTGATCGATGTTTCTCTCTCATTGATGTTTCTAACTCTCTATCCCTCTCCCTTCCTCTGTATAAAAAAAAATCAATAAAAAAATATATATATTTTTAAAAACCCAATTAGTTATTGAATCTAGGTCGTGTGCAAGTTCCCTGTGGAGGCACAAAAATGCGTATCGCTCAGTCCCTACCCTCCGGGAGCAAGACACACATCTCTGCAATCACCCCAAAGCAGGCACAGAGAGAAGCGTCCCCAAGAGGAGTTTAGGTGACACAGGCGGCATCTGGCAAAAAGGAAGTCACCTCTGATGGGGGGGACCTGGTGAGCGTCAGGGAGGAACACCCATCAAGCTGGCTCCTCAAGGATATTTATAATCTGAGGGGAAGCTGGACAGGCAGATGGACTTGCTTTTCACCCAGGGGGACACTCAGGGCATTTGTTTTGTGGTGTGTGTGTAGGCAGAGGGGAACATCTGGCAACAGCAGTAAGAGGATGATAGGGGATCAGGCCTGGGGAAGGAAGGAAGGAAGGCCAGGCAGGGTGCCTGAACCAGGGGCAGGCCTGACACAGGGTCCTGGAAGGACCCGGAGAAGGCCAAGACTCCAGAGATGGTTTAGAGATAGAATGGGCACCCCCTAGACCTGCAGCCGGTGGAGGAGTCAGAGTGACTCAGATGTGCATCCCCGGGGCAGAAAGAATGGCGGTGCCATTATTAGAAATCAGAAGGTGGGGAAAGGGGAGGGCTGTGGGGGAGGTGCCGAGAGCAGAGCTATTTATGGTCATCTCTAAAGCGATTTCTCTGCCAGCAGTCTGTGCTCCCTCCCGCCTCCCCATCTGCGCTCTGTGTGCAGGTCCCAGCAGTTACTTCACGGTCAAATATTTGCAGTAGCTCTCCGTGGCCTAGTGCAATAAAATCTGAATCGCTTATACCATTTCTTGGCTTTTACCTCCCTCACCATCCTTCTCATCTACATCTCCTCTCCCCAAGAATGCAAACTTCAGCCATTGCCCGGAATCATCCCTGCCTCTGAGCCTTTGCACTGTCCCTTCCTTTCATCCAGTGGACCCCTTTCCACTCCCTGTGGCCACATCCGACTCATCCTTGGTGGCCAAGCCCAGCTTCTGCAGCCTGCAAGTGGCGGGGGGTGGGGGGGGGGGGAACACACACGACACAGCAACATTCATTTACACCTGAGTCATCACACAAGGTAAACAACCCCCCAGACCTCCTCCTAATGAAAGAGACAAAAAACTACTCTGATTTTAACTTTGCAAAATAAATCTATGGACAATAACAGGCTGGGTCCAGAAACAAATTTGGAAGATTATAAAATATGATTTAATTTTATGAAATTTTCTCACAGATTGCTTAAGTTAATCCTAAAGATTCCTAATGAAACCAGAAATTCAAAGTTGGAACAAGAGAAAAATGATTGAAAGGTAACATCACCTTTTTGGAGCTTAAAGGTTGCTCCATGATGCTGAAGTCATTTGTTATGATTGTCTCATTGCCCTGGCAAATCACTTCCCTTCTCTGAGTCTCAATTTCTTCATCTGCAAATGGATGTAGTAATTATTAGGCTTGAATAGATTCATGCTGATAAAATGCTTAGAAGTACCTGGCATATATCAAGATACATGGTGGTGGTGTTAAAATTATCCGTTCAAGCCCTGGCCTGGTGAATCAGTGGGTTGGGCGTTGTCCCATGCACCAAAAGGTCCCTGGTTCGATTCCCAGTCAGGGCACATGCCCAGGTTATGAGTTCCATCCCCAGTTGGGATGTGTTTGGGAGGCGACCAATTGATGTTTATCTCTCTCACATTGATGTTTCTCCCTCTCCCTTCCTTTCTCTAGAAAAATCAATTTTAAAAACCATTT